ATGGTTGATGGCAGGAAACAAGCTGAATTCGTGGTTTAGCCACTGCATCTCTCCCCTGCCTGGTCTCGCTTATGCATTCTTGCATATGCATTTTTCTGCTTATGCGTTCTTGCTTATGCATTTTTCTGCTTATGCATTTTTCTGCTTATGCATTTTTCTGCTTATGCATTTTTCTGCTTATGCATTTTCTGCTTGTGCATTTTTCTGCTTATGCATTCTTGCTTATGCATTCTGCTGCTTATGCATTCTTGCTTATGCATTCTTGCTTATGCATTTTCTGCTTATGCATTCTCGCTTATGCGAAAATTATGCATAGTTGGATTTTTTCAAGATTCTTTTCCGAGTGCAAAAGGAACATTATAATGCTAGTGATAATAATGATGCTATTCACGATAATGCTGACCTGCGAGGCTATGTTAACATCCGACAGCCAAGAAAGCCACGGACTCAAACAGCTGCCGCCGAAGCCTCAGCGACGTGCGCATTCTCTGTCTACTTTCCCTCGTCTCTGTGTGAGTTTGGCTGTGGATGAAATGCGTGTTCACGTGTTTCACTTTGCAGCTGGTAGTCACGTTGCTGCAAGCTGAAGCACCTGTACTGAGATGCCCGCTAGCCCAAGAAAATCAGACCCATGACGCTGGTGAGAGCGCCCGCTGTTCCGCCTGCTGTCTGCTCTGTACAGGCCAGCTGTTGAGATTCGTCAAGGGTACTCGACATTGAATCATGGTCACCGTCTTAATTCCTAAACCCTCAATTGTTAGCCCACCACCGCACCTATACCGCGCGCATACACCACAGCAACCACACCGCACCAGTGCACCGCGGCGCTTACACCTCCCACATACAACACAACACTTACGCTGCGCTAACACCACAGCAACTACACCGCACGGCGACCGCAGCACCTAGCACACGGCCAGATGCGCGTCCCTTGCTAGAGTCGAACTGACTGCTTTCGGGACAATCGGGGTCTCGTCGTTAGTAGTCTGTTAGGCGTTCTCACTCCAGACCAGCCCAGTTGTGCGCCCCCTGCCTACCCGTCCGAGGCGTGGTCAGTGAGAGCAAGCTTGAAGGCATGATGTCTATTTAGGGCGTCAGGGGGTTCCGGACTACAGCAGTGACTCGTCCCTGGTTAGATAGCAGGCGCACCTTCAAAATCAATTCAAAGCATGCGCGATTAAAGATACGTATCATGGCCAATACGGTGCATCACGACGGATGGTTGGGTTTCATTTCTATCATGAGACGCGCGGAATGGTTGCAGGTCCAACGGTCCAAAAGGCGAAGAACGATATGGACCATCCTTAGTTCAGGGCACCTCTGTGCATGACTGATGCGATTGCCGCCTCCGCGTCAGAGGTGCAAAGCACCAGCTGCAGGGCACTGTGAAGTTTTGCAGAGCGCATGCTAACAACAGCGCTGTCACCGATATGCACTTTTTGATCCTTGATGGAGCTATGCGAAAAGTTCGTCTGCCCACGCTGCGTGCGTTGGGTGCAGCAAAACTATGCCTTGCGGGCATGACAATGCTGATGGAGAAAAGCGCTGCCTCCCCGCCACTCAGCTTTTTAAGCTGGCAAGCTTGCTTCTGTTTATTTCATTAAGCGTCTTTCCCTCCTGCGATATGCATGAAGGCCAGCCGCATGTTACACGCTGACCATGCTGACACCAGCTGCAGAAAATCGGACATTGGTGCTGTATTGGTAAATAAATTTGTAAAAACTTATGACTTGGCAGATTGGTTTTCTAACGAAAACTTGCTCCAATGGATTACGTATGGTTCTTTTGTGATCCCGGGAACTCAGTGGTTTCTGGTTGCCCTAGTTTTGTTGAACTCTCAATTATGGCTGAATGTGATGCAAAAGTAGGTGGTCTTTGCCAGTTCTTGGGCTAACCTTCGGATTGCCACACGAAATCAAGTCATTGATTAAACAAGCGCAGTAGTTTTCCAATAACAGCCGTCTCAAGCGTACATGGCCAATTCATTGGCAGCCATGACTATGACTAAACCTTGTTCCTCGAACCTGCAGCGGCGCGTGTGCTTGTGCTTCTTCAAACATTGAGCTAGTTGTGAGGAGCTTAGCACTTGAAAGGGGCGTGGCACGAATTGGAGGGCACATTCCGTCGCTTATATGACGCAGTTCCGTTCTTCTGTAGTTGAGCTCAAGGCCAAGTCACAAGCCAAAGGCTGTGTTGTTGAAACGCCCACCTTCCGGACCCTGGAAATGTACACTCGCACAATGCTCGCGCAACAGAATCGCAAGCATGCAGGCTTGCCCCGCACACGCTGGCACTCCACTGCATGTTTAGCACGCAAGTTTCACGCGTTTCACATATCAGTTTTGGCCGGTTGGACTCGCGACCATTCATGGCTGAAATTAGGAAGAGCTGTCCGTGGCTCTGCACCTCACCGTTTGGCCTTGCAAAAGTAAGATAAAAAATAAGAGTCAAAAATCTGAACATGTGGGAAGCTTCTTGCAGCTGGTTTTTGATCAATGGCCACAAGATCATTTCGCATTGAGTCAAATGTGGAGGATTGGTTAGCATTTCAACCCGTGGGATGTTACAGAGTACCTCCATAAAGTAGCCCAACGGATTTGCCGTCGTTTTTGATTCATTGCCCTCCCTGTCTCTTTTGATCTGTTAATATGTAGCAAGCCGAAGCTCGCTTGCTATTTTTGCTCCTTCTGCATAAGGAATAGGGAGCCTGGCCTTTAGGGCCGCATTTCATGATTTCGGCCTTTCCAACTGCAGCCCTAACATCAATGCCAGCGCGTTGAGATGCTGTTCAACGTCACGATCACTTTCTTTGCCTGAGGAGTTGCCATTATCGTCATGTGAACCGGAAGAGTTCTGAGCATCCAAAAATTCACCTAATGATTTAATAGTGATTTAATGGATCAGACTTTAGGCTTCGTGTGGAAATTTCAGGAAGATTCAAGCTGATTTGACCCGGGGAAAAAGGTTTGTTCCAGATTGCTTGCTGTTTGGGGGTAGTATTCAGGTGGCTCGATTTTCCAGTCATTGTTGAACAAGTTGGTTGGGCAACAAGTGGTAATCAAACGTTTTGACAAATTGTGTGATTCAGAGAGGCACTGCAAGTAAAAAGGGTGAATGGAACGCACGCTCGCAAAGTTGGCGTATCCGCAAACACATAGCTACATGTGCTGATTAAGTCCGAGTTCAGCAATTGCTGGCATTTTTCCCTGCCCGATGTCATCGTTGAGACGCAGCCCTGTCCCAAGCTTGCCATTTTCAAAGAACGTGTAGTGTCATGTAAGTTCTTGTGCAGGTGGTGCTGGATGCTTGCCATGGTTGTGATTTTTCGTATATCAAAGAGTGATTAGTGTCTGAGGATGCCATTTGGAGTCTGGGACGAATCCGATTGGTGCACGGTGAACCGAGCCTTGTCAGGCGTGACATGCGTTTGGCTTTGTGCACCAACAGCGTCAAGAATTCTTGAGGTTCACTTGCTTCACAAGATGCAGCATCCATACCATCGGAGTCCCTGCTCCACGCAAAAGCAGAGGCAGTGACTTACAAAGATATGCTGTGAGTATCTGTGAGTCCTGTGTGAGTTTAGGCTTCTTGGTCTGGTTTGCCGAGGCTCGGAGATCACGGACGTGTTTTACAAAATCAAGCAGTGGCCGGCTCAGCAACTTGCACGGTTTTGTGTGGAGAAATGCCGTCTTGCATTTTTGTTTTTGCCTCTTCAGGAGGGCTTTCTCTGGCCTCCACACACTTCACTCGCTTGCATGGCAGCTTGATGCCAAGCTCCGCGGGTCTGTGCAGATGTGAGTGGGAGTCTGCTTAGCATTGATCGTGGAGCGTGAATTCACATGTTCATGGGCCCACAGTTCAACATTTGAGGTTGCACCTCCATCGGAGAGCTTCAGGATTCTGTTGACACGCATCTGCCGCGGTTCTCATTTTGTACAGCTTCAGTGTGTCAAGGATCGGTTGCCTACCTAGGGCCCATCCAAGGAGTCATGAGTGCAAGGGTTTGACGAGTCCTTTAACATCCTGCTGTGACTCTGACGATGAAGATGAGCTGCTTATTTCGCAGCTCCCCAAGTTTGCAAGTTTCAACTTTAAGTTCAGAACAGATTTCCTTTTGATTTGTTTGAGGCATTCGGAGGCTGTGCTACAGAAGTGGAAAAAAGAGGCCGGTACACATTCGACGGGCAGAATCCCCAATTGCACAAGAAGAATGTTCGTGCATTGGAGCACCAAGCAAACAAAGAAAATGACAAGGGGCAAAATCAAAGGAAGTCGTGGAGAAGGGACAAGCGAGAGATCATTGGCAGAGAGCGCATCAGCTACCGCAAGACAAGGATGCTAAATCAAGATGCATGTGCGCGTATTTTGTTTGCTGAAAGTTGCAAGGGCCATCCCGCTTTTTTGTCAGCCGGAAGCCTTGCTTGTGTGTTGCGACCTGTGCACATTTGGGTCTGCAACGCATTTTAGTGCTTGAGGCAGACGAGAGCTTTCTGTTTCATCCCGGATCCTGTGAGAGTCGTCCGTCTTTGTCGGGATGCAGCGCGCCACGCACGAGCCCAGTAGCTGTAATTCCAGCTTCTTCAAAGCGTTGAGGTTGCTTGGTCGAAATTCCTCTTCAGGTATAGACCGCACGATGACCACCGCCTCAATGGTGCACCTTGCGTACCTTCAGAAGGATGTGACGAGTGTGCAGACCCATAAGGTACTGCGCAACCTGGAGAACGAGTTGTATTCTGTCGACCTGGAGGAAGCCAATGGGAGTCTTGATGATCCTGACGCAAAGTCAGGTCCTGGGCTGGCGATGCACCATGCTAGCTGCTTGCAGTTGCTTGCGGGATGCTGAGATTTTCTTGTTTTAGCGCCTTCCCCAGGTTGACCATCGGCGAAGCAGTGCAACTCATTGCCAATGGGACTGTGATTGGAGCGGTGGCAGAGGCTTACACTTCACGTCACCACTCAGACAGCTGTCTGTTCCTGGAGTTGAAGAAATTTGTTGGCAGGACATGTTGAAGAAACTGAAGACGAGCGGGGTCAGATCGGGAATCCCCAGGCTGTGACGGATGTTGCTGGTAGTCATTGGCGCTTCTAACGTGTGAGAAGCTTGCATTTGTCAGGAGATACGTTTTGACTTATGAGCTTTATGGCCTGCTGACCAACAAGGTTTAGCACTTCGTCAAATGTTTGGCTACTCCGGACACAGATTCATGGGTCTCGTGAGGTCAGAGATGTGCTTGATCAGATGGATGTCGGAGCCTCATGCAAAGGGCACCAACAAACATTTGAGGCTGCAAATTACAGTTGAGACCTTACAGGAGATCTCCCAGTCAGAGGCTGGCAGCAAAAAGAATCCCGGCCTTCTTCCCAGCAAGCCAAGCCATGCCAGGTTCAGAAAGCAAACCTCTCAGTGTGTATGGCTCAGTTCTTGTCAAGTGGTGTTTGGCGATGCTTTGCGCACATTTGCAGGAAGATGCAGGGTGAGGGTGACATTGATGCATCTTCGATAGCCAAAGCTGTTGGCAGGCAAAGCATCAGTGCATTCAAAGCCTTGCCACCCAGATCCTACCTCTTGCGTTCCGAGGGAGAATGACGAAGATTTCATCATGAAGCTGCAGTCCGCGGCTGAGACGGCCAACCAGCCAGAACCAGAAGAGGAGGAGGACGGGAGTCGCCCATCTACGTCCGCAGGTAGTCTGCGTGCTTGTCACTGGCCTTGCAGGATGGGAAGCATGACCAGGTCGCGGGCGAAATTGAGAAGCTTCTCACGAGAGATGAACTGAAAGAACTGCTGAAAAACGTCGGCAGCTCTTTGTTGTTTTTGCGTCTTGTCTCCTGAATGCACACTGTTTTTCAACATTGAGGTCATATCTGGACTGGACCGCTTCCGCTGGCAAGACATGGTGGGAAACCTGGCTGGGTCTTGTTGGGCTGTCCTTGGCTCTCCTACCTCAGGCGAACGAATTCAAGAAGTGGCTAACCGTGGGAGAGCGCGGCTCCCATTTCCATATCCAGGCCTGCAAACAAGGTAGTTGCAGTGCTGCAGGCTCAGGCCGTCATGTGACAAGCCGAGGAAGGTGATAGCTCGGGAAACTGCGCAGCTTTGAATTTACGTTGCAAAAAGGTGAGTGCTCTCAGAGAAGCACGGCAGGCGAGCGCAAACCTGCTGTAGATGGTAGAAGTGCAGTCAGACCTTTCCTTGGGCAGTCACCTCCTCACTTACATTCTCTGGTAGCAGAAGAGGGCCATGTGATGGGGAGCATTCCCGAGGAAGATCACAACATGCACAAACTTCCCATTTTGCTCGTGTTGCCAAAGCGCGTTGTTTTTTAAGCGGGCGAAGGGGATCCTGTTGTTCTTGCTCCCTCATAAATATTCAAACATGGCATTTCAGCTCTGCAGTTCGTGCTTTCTGTAGAACGACAAAATCTTGACTAGTTTCCCATGCCAAGGACCTCAGACAACGTTTGGCCCTTACTCTTGCAGGCTTTGGACCATTGAGGATCATTGCGCAGTGACTGCGCTGTCAGGTCATGCGTCGCCTCTTGGAAGACACGGCAAAGCTCTTAGCAAAGTGCTTGCAGCATGCTGGGGGTGTGTACTGCAAATGGCGTGCCTTGTGTACGAGGTCGAGCTGCAGCGTGAAGCCATAAGTGTGCTGGCCCTCTCGAAAATCTTGGCAGAAGAGACTCTGAGCTCACGTGTCCTCCTTGCCGCAAGGCCCTGACCCCAGCACGCAGCAAGCAACACAAAAGCTTCGGCAAAGATTCTTGGATCAGGGCTCTTACCGACTTCCATGATGCGGTTGATAGGCGCTCTCAATGTCTGAAGAGTGCAAGAATGAAGACGCACTTTTGGCAGGGAGATGGGCTTGCTGCTTGAGCGCTGTGGTATTGATGACTCTTTGATCTCAAGGAGCCGCTCAGCATATATTGCTCCAGTTGAAATCATGACGGCATGCGTTGCAGGTCCTTCTCTCATTCAGCTAGCTCAATGCTGGCCGAGGCTACTCCAGGAGATGCTGTCATGGCTTTTCGCTGCACAGGAGAAGTGTTGCCAGTGCTGCCAGGCTTTTTCATCGAAGAAGAGTTTGAGCAGCTTGGATCGGGACGAGGACAGCTTGAAACGTAGTCAGGAAAGGAGCGTTCATTTGATACTCTTTTGTTCTTGCAAGCGCCCGAGGAAGGATTACAGTTTTTGGCAATATGGATGCAAGATAGTATCGACTGGCACTGTTGCTTTGGACACAGTCTCCCTCGAGCAACGATTGCTACGCTCCCTGAAATTTTGTCTGCACTGGAGACCACGTTAGTCGAAGTCCCTGGACATCCAGGAGACAGAGTCTGCATTCGTAGACTCGCAACCGACAACGACGACTGTGAACATGTCTGACATGGAGAAGGTGAGACATCATTGTTTCCAGTGAATAAATAGCACTAGCTGGCTTGAACGCATGAGTTTCCAGGCCATGATGAAGGAACGCGATCGACAGCGCAGGAGCGCGGAGAATATTGTGTTTTGAGATCTGCAAGTTCAACTTGGAAGGACACACAAACGGGTCAAGGGAGACCTCATTGCGCTGATGCAGGCAACGTGGCCATCAGCGTATGAGCTCGTATGTACGCATTGAGGCAAATTTGCTGGGAGTTTTTTCAGTGCTATCTCGTGCAGCGTCCTATCATTTGACAAAATGATTTATCGCATGGAGCTCCTTTAAGTTTTTGCCCCAACTCAGGCTTGCCTTGGAGCGTCCCCATATTCTTCTTCAACATTCAGTTCTCGTAAATGGAGTCTTCAAGAGCTCTCATAAAGCGTCCCCACGCTGCTCAAAATTGATCTCCAAGATGGAGTTTTGCTGGAAATCTTGTTCCTACATGGCACCGGGCATCTTTCCAGCCTCCTGGCTGCATGGCTCTTGGGTTTCTGTGCTTCCGATCTTTTAGGTTTTTGGCTCCGTGGCTTTTGAGCTTCGTACTGTCTGTCATCCACCAGCAGGTCCGATCAAAACTCCAAGAGAAGTTGCATGTTCGCATCTTCAGGCTTTGACTTGCGCTCGATATCAAGCTTTTACGTGGCACATCCTCATAATTTTGGGTGAAATCATGCTCGCGCATGGAGAGCCCTCGAGGGTTGGCTTGAACTCTTTCTCGCCTGTGTATCGTGCTTAGAGGTTGTGCATACATGGAGGTTTTGCTTGGAGCATCCTCACGTTTTCGCTCGAAAGCCCGCTCCGGCGTTCAACTCAAATTTGTATGCCAAGTCGACCTGTCGCATACAGTGTCCTCATATTTTTTCTGGAAAACGCGCTCTAGCAGCAGCCACGCAACAGAAAAAGCCAACGCCTGCAGATTTTTTTCAGCAACTCATTTCGGGATGCGCATCAAAAAAAGATTCAGGATCAAGAAGAAATGCTTTGCATCAAAAATAAATCTCTTCGGGATCAAAAAATCACCCAGCGATCCCTGTAAGTGTCGTCGCTTTTGGACCCTTGGATCCTCGTGGAGTTTGAAGAGTGTGAACAGTCACAGGGATTGTGTCGCTCAGGGTTTGGATCCTCGTAAATTTCATCGCTTTTGGACCCTTGGATCCTCTAGGAGGTTGAAAAGTGTCAACAGTCACAGGGATCGTGGGGGTCGGGGTCGGGATCCTCGTAACTGTCCTAGCTTTTTCAACCCTCGGAGCCTTAGACAGAGAGCAATAAAAGAAGTAACCAGGACAGCAAGAAAGTAAGGCTTCCTCAACAGGTTATTTTTGGGCCCTAAATTCTAGACTTTAAAGCCCAAACCAAACAATCCTTGGAGATCAGGTAATCAATGGTAATCACAGACTGAAGGCTGGGCCCGTGTCACGGACCCGTTCCAGGCTTTACAGGTGAAATTCACTGTCCCAGCATCGAGCTAGACTTTGTCAGGGCTCGAAGTGTTGGGTATGCCGAGAACTCATGCGCACTTGCATTTTCCATGCTCAATCTTGCTTCTTCATGTTCGATTTTTTCTTCGTTTTCATCATTCTTTGATTTCTTCGTCACATTGCCAGATCTAAAGCGGCAGAAGAAAGCCAATGTTCTAACCTTTGTCCAGGTTTTGCAGTTGGGGGGAGGGTTCGCCCCCCGCAATTCTCTCCGGGGCTATAACTTCACAAAGTACATTCGCGCAAGCATTTGTTATGATATTCCCTTTTTGATGGTTCTTTGAATTAGTATTCATAATTTCCATTACTTCTAATTTTCCATCATTTTTCATAATTTTGATGACTTGCATGTTTTTCATGATTTTTCATCATGTGTCATCAACTCTTAAACCAGTCCAGAAGATGCGGCCGAAGCTTGCACTTGACGTTGTTGGCTTCAGCACGGGGTGGGAGTGGCGCGGCCAGTGCTTGAGGGGAAAAGTGGCAGTGCAGGGCACCACATTAGGACCGGGCTCCTAGGAAGGTAGACAGGGTCCTGTACAGGCTAAGGGCTGTAGGGGCAGGTCCGGGCTACCATATTCACATTGGTAACGGGGTCCGGCCCGTCATAGTGATAGGGGATCACTGTGGAAACAGGGGCATCCAGGGGCTCTAACCAATTGGGAAAACTAGCTAGGGGGAAGTGAACCTCGAGCCATGGGGAGCGAGTCGGACGTTGGAAATGGAAGCTCACGCGGAGCAGCATCACACTTGCCTTTTCAAGTGATTCCTAAGTTGACGCCCGGAACCACTAATGTCGTTGAGTATGCAAAGCGCCTGCAGTTTCTGAAGGAGATGTGGCCGCAAGAACACATCGCATTGCTGGGGCCCAGAGCCGCTCTACTGGTAGTGGGGGCAGTGTTTCAGAAGGTGAGCCGCATTGCGCCAGAAAAATTGAAAAGCGCTGATGGAATCCGCATCTTGGCCGAGCAACTGGGAGGAGCTTGCGGAAGGCTCCAGGTGGAGGATAAGTTCCATTGCTTTGAGCAGGCCATCTTCCAGACGCAACAGCTTCAAGATTAAAGCAACAATTCCTACATAGCCCGTCACAACGCACAGTTCGAAGAGCTGCTGTCAAGAAAGGTGCAGTTGGAAGAAATCCGAACTTACATCCTGCTGAAGCACTCGCAGCTGTCGGCGGACGACAAGAAGCGAGTGGTAGTTGAGTCAAGGCGTGACCTCAAGTATTCAGAGACCGTCAATTCGGTGCGACTGCTTGGATTGCGTTTCTTCGGCGAGCTGCAGAAACGAGGTGGCGCAAGCGCAGGATCTGGCCAAACGATGGAGAGGAACAAGGTCTATGACGTGAACATGGCGGAGAGCGAGACGACGGAGACGGCCTGCTACTCGACAGGACCAGACGAGGAGCCTGACGATGAGGAGATCTTTTCTTTTTTCTTCGAGCGGTGCGACGAAGATGCAATCTATACATCGCTTACTTCGAAGACGGTGTCGCGGAGGCCGTCAGGAGTCGACTTTGGCTCCGGTGTTCTCGGCGTATCAGGGGGCCAGGAACCGTCGCTTGCGCGAGCAGGCCAGGTCAAGGGGCGTGTGGCCGATCGGCAAAGGAGCTGGAAAGGCCAAGGCAGGAACTTCGACCAGGAGGGCAGTGCCGGATGTGGCAAAGGAAAGCGCCCGCGCACGCTGGCTCAGAGAATTTCTACCTCGGCTTGCAGGTTGGGGGCGTTGGAAGAGGGAGTGTCCAAGAAATGTGGACAACCAGCCGGGGCCAAGCAAGATCGAGGTGTCGAACCTGCCCATGGAAGGCAACGACAACGACAGCGGCGAGGACAGCGAGCCACCGCGCGAGTTTCTCCAGGAGTTGCTGGAGGATGCAAGTATGTACATCGAAGACCTTGAGATTGACGACCATGAGGCGCGTCATCCCAAGCGACAGGCTGGAGGTAGAATTCAGTCCTTTGACTCTTGCTGCTTTGCATCTCTTGAGGTGAAGCCAAGCACGTGTGTAGCAGAGGGCGCGTGGATTAGGGTAGAGGTTGTCCAGGTTTCCGCTCCTTTGTTGATTCCAGTCGTTTGCTTGAAGAAGTTGATGCGGTCATCCATGTCCGGAAGGGTCTTATTGAGGTAGCGGGCATATGTAAAGACTCTTTTTGACCAAAAGCCGCTAACCATTGCCAACCTGTCAGAGTTATTGCAACATGTCGCAGCAGAGACATTCCGCGCCGCCGAGACAAGAGAGTCACAGCAGCATGCCACAGGAACATGGGAAGATCCTGGCAGACCGAGAAAGATGACTCGCCGCAGCATTCAGTGGATCGATCCGCGCAAGAGCCCCGCGACAAAAGCAATCTTCCAACTTCCAACTTTGTCCTTTCAACATGCCGTCCAGCGACGAGAAGACAGGGTTGACCAGCGCGATCGACACGGTGAAGAACCGCGTCGACATGGAGGCCGAACTGTCGGGCGAGGAGGATGTTCGTTTGGCAGGGCCCAGGCTTGCCTGCGCAAGGCAGGTTCTGCTGGCCCAAGAGGCCAGCAGCAAGACCCCCGGAACGATGCCGAAGGAGGACAGCGGCTGGGAGCATCTACCGGAGGCGCAAACTTGATGTGGCTGCTGCCGCCCCTGTCATGTGCGCAGGTTTCATCCTGTTTCACATATTTCTTGCGCAGGCATTATCCTGTTTCACTTTGCTGGATAAACCGGAGGCGCCCAAGAAGGACGACAAGATCAAGAAGAGAACCGGCGAAGCAGGCAGCAGCGACGTGGAGGTCGATGTGGATCCGGCGGACTTGGCTCGCCGGCGAGCGCTCCTGCAGCGCGAGCTCTACAATCTCCAGCAGATGGAGGAGCAGGCAGTCGAGGCGACGCGTCCGAGGAGGAGACGTGAGGGGCAGTTTAATATTTGACGCCAGGACAGTGGCGCTTTGTGAGCAGATTGAGGGCCGGATCAGTGAGATTGACAGGCAGCTTCAGAACAATCTCAATGATTCCCAGCAATCTACGTACGCAATGCCAGCCCTGGATGTCCTGGAGATCGCCGCAGGAGTGAGCAATTCAGTGCGCGCAACCGTTAAGCAACGGCGAGGCCGAGCGATCGTGTACAATCAAGTAAAACAGCTAGGCAGCTGCCCAGAGTCAGCGGCACACCTGTGGAAAATCCTCCAGTTCTATGAGCCCAAGCATGTGTGGGTTGATGTCCAGCATCCATGGCAACAGCTTCCTGGCCATCTCCTTGGCCTCTGGAACTTTTGGCAGAGATCTTTCTGTGTCATCAAATGGAGAGTGGCGGCGTTTCCATCTTAACGGGGGTCCAAGTTTCTTTAATTGCCCGTACGAAGCGCTCTGGGAGATGCAGGAAGGCGCCCTGCCGCAAGACCAATTGGAGCCGGCGTGGGAATTCCTCCTGGTGGTCCGGCGCCAACTGCGCCACGACGTGGTGCAGATACGCCGCGGAGATCCTAGACATGATGGCCGACGGCGAGGACGAGCTACGCAAATATATGGCAGCCAAACTT